CAATTTCTTGCGCGGCGGAGATTTTTGGCGACCAACCCTGTGTGATGTGGGCGGGCGGTTGAGTTGGTTTGAATCATGCCCCAGAATGATTTGAGCGCTTTTCTGGTCGAGCTTGCGAGTTTTTTGAGGGCGGTCATTTGCAAGTTGAGTCCAAGGCAGAAGTAGTTTTCCAACGGCCGAGCAAGACTTGATTTCATGTCCTCTCCATGCTGGACAAGGTCTGCTACGGCCGGATTTTTTGGCAGTGTTCGCCGCGTATTGGCGCAGGTTGGCAGCAGAAGCTTTTGGATTTAGATGTTTCCGTTTCAGGTAATTTTTGCTGGAGGTTTGGTTTCCAACTTAGACATGCCTAGAATTGGCAGCAGAGGTCGCTGGCTTGGCTGATGGATGTGCCTGCTGCTCCTGGCGCCTTGAGCGTCGCCGACAATTTCCATGCGCGGCGGAGATTTTTGGCAACCGACCTTGGTTCCGTTTGTTTTTTGATTTTATGTGATGTGGGCGGGCGGTTGAGTCGGTTGGAATCATGCCCCAGAATGATTTGAGCACTTTTCTAGTCGAGCTTGCAAGTTTTTTGAGGTGGAGCGGGTGTTTTGGAAGTTGAACCCATGAGGCAGAAGTAGTTTTCCAATGGTCGAGCAAGACCTGATTTCATGTCCTCTCCACGCTGGACGATGTTACACCGATGACGGCCGGACGAGGCCTTGTTGCCACCTCCTCTCCACGCTGGACGAGGCCGACTGCGCGCGTGACGAGGCCGAGCGAGGCCTCCAAAGACAGGCCATTTTCCATCCTCTCCACGCTGAACGAGGCCGACGAGGCCGAACGGGGACCCGGGGACCTTATAATACTTTTAAAGGAGTCCCAATTGAAAGAGAATTGGTTGTTGCGTTTTTTGAATCCACAGGGCTTGAGGGTTTAGAATTTTCGCCCGCAGCTGTTTCCAAGTCGTACGGTGAGCTGCAGCAGTTGCGGCGGTGAATTTGGCGGCGTGGAGCCCGGGGTCGCCAGAGTGGGCCTCCCCTGTCGCCGTTGGACGCAATGCAAACATTGGGCGTATCGGGGCGTCGACGCTGGCCTTGCAAGGTTTGGCGTTCCCGCGGGTAGCAATCTCACCTCGCGCCTGGAATGGCTCGGATCGACCGTGCGTTTTCAGCATTTTTGAACGGAAGCGCTACAAAAATACATCAATGAGCGGCCCCTATTTTGGGGGACGGAATCTAACCTGCAAAACGGGGGTCATGAGGCAACGAAATAGCAGAGCAAAATGATGTTCACGTTGTCCCCCATTTTCAATTTGGGGGTCAGATTCCGTCCCCAAAATAGGGGCCGCTCGTTGATGCATTTTTGAAGCGCTTCCGTCAAAAAACGCTGAAAACGCACGGTCGATCCGAGCCATTCCAGGTGCGAGGTGAGATTGCTACCCACGGGAACGCCAAACCTTGCAAGTCCAGCGTCGACACCCCGATACGCCCAACGTTTCCATTGCGCCCAACGGCGACTGTATTCCTTTCATACTGACTCCCTTGGCTCCAAGAGCACAAGTACCCGTTCCAGATCGTGTCACTTCCAGAAGCTCTCTAACCACTTACCCGACCCGCAAAACGGCTGCAGTCTTTGACCCCACGATTACTTGAAAAAGCACTCTGACTCCAACGAACTCCACCAACGGCACCTGTTCCGTGACCATAGTGACTTCTGGGGCTATGTTAGGCAATCTTGAATTGATTCCAGTCCATTTTGAGCCCTCGTTCAAGTCCCTATCTGGAGGAAGCATGCTTGAGATAGTGAATCTTGGGGCTATGTTCGACCATGTGCAAGCTATGCTCGTGATAAAATCTTACCGTTCCTGGAAAAAACGGTGTTTGGTCACGTTAGGGGGGGGTCTTTGTTCCGGTCCCTTTTGAGCTCTCGTTGGGCTATGTTTACGACGCTTCCAGCCGACATGTACGGCTCCTCTTTTGAAGCCAAAAAGTAAATTCAAAAAGTGTATCAAAAACAGGTTCACCTTTAGGTTTTTTGTTTCACGCAACACTGACCTCCAACGTTTGAGGCAAACACCTGTGGATCTCAGACAATGCTGATCTCCAACCATGAGAAAGAGGAAAAAAAATGTGCAGCCATCGGAAGAACAATCTGTTGGAAATCATTGACTGAGATAGTGCGCCAGAATGAGATTGCAATTTCTAAACACGAGACTTCTGCACTCTGCACTTAGAGCATTTCGTACTCCCGCAGTTGATCAAAATTCGCCTGGTCAGCGAAAGCCAAGTCTACGGACCGTCACTTTCGCCGACAGATGTTGTCAAAAAGCAAATGACAGAGGTCGCAGCCGGAGCTACCACAGGCGTCCACGAAGTAGCCACCCTGTTCTCGCATATACAAGATCCCTGCGAGCGATGGGAGCTCCTTGGCTTTGGGAAAGCAGCAATATTGTACAGGCGAACTCAAATTGTACTAAACGCCGCCCGTTTGCTCCCAGCGCACAGGAGGCTCCCACATAAGGCCTTCCTCAGTGGGCTTTGGTGGAAGCTACTGTCCATACAACCGATGCAGCTTTTGGCTACCCTTCCGATGCTAGGCCACTTGCAGCATGCTGCACAGCCTTCTCCGGAACATGTTATTGTTAACGGCTTTAGTGCCGGCAGCTACACAGGAGCAGTGATTGCCTTAGCAATTCGCTGTCTCTGGCCGCAAAGCCAAATCACTGCTCGTCTAGGTGCCATAGCCATGCCTAAGGGGGTCCTAGCTGCATTAGTTGCTACCGCGGATGAGAACCTGCACCACTACTATCTTATTCATGCTGGTGCTGATTCTCTTTGTGACTGGAAGCCCAGTTCATGGTAAGCGCAGACTGGGCAGGAGCTATAGGCATGCTTGTCTCCAATATCCACAGGTCTGACCAAGCGCTCCTGCACCTGCTACAAGTGTGCGTCCCTGGCCAGGAGATTACCTCCATGGAAGAGGCGCAAGCCCTGTTGCTGCGCAACTTTCAAGTTGGAAAAGACGAAAACAGTGCATGTGCCAATTGGCTCACGGAAATGGCCAGAGACATGTTGGCACCCATACCCTTTCGTGAGGTCTTTGTCATCCTTGCCACATTCCTAGAGGGTATTAAAGCGCAGCAAAGCCTATGGGCTAGTCCTGCTGTTAAGAGGCAAGGTGTCCAGATCGAGATCACACCCACTGCGGCAGGGCTCCAAGGAATGCATGAATACCATGTTTCCTTCCCCACCTGGTCTACTGTAGCAGCATTTTGTCCGGCCCCGTTGCAGCAGCTGAGCTTCGAACACCTCATTGAGCGGCCCTCGGCAGAAGTTCACATTGGATGCCAAGTAGGAAAGGTCTACCGCCTTGTCCTCCAAAGCAGCGAAGGAGTGTATGCCATGATGGCCGTACTACTGGCCTTTGCTACACAAGCCAGGAGAAAGTCGGACCGCAATGGGCAGGAATCGTATTATGACAGAGTTCGAAGGCAAAGCAGTCCTCGATCATGGGATGTTGCTCTCGTACCATTCCCAGGAGACTTCGCGCCGCTTCCTACTTTGCAGGAAACTGGTGCTGCACAAGAAGCTCAGTGGAACTTCCCTCCCAGCCTCACAGTGCTAGCATCCAGAGCAGTTAACTTTCAGCTCCTTGCCTTGGCAGAAGTCGGCAGCGCTGTCACTGCAGACCATTTAGTGCAAATGGCCACAATGCCACCTGAGCACAAGCCCACTGCACTTGGGATACCGGCACATATGGTCGCTTTGCCATGCCTCGTCAAGCAATATGCAAATGGGAGCATAGAATAAATATCCCCAAGTGCCTGGTACAATGGCCTGTGTAAGCAGGCCTCCTGACTAAGTGCTCTCAACGCTGCCTGAAAGAAGTCAATGCACTTCAGTTTGCTCACCGTGAGGCACTTTAGAAGAATTCGCAGCCCACATGACGTCTCACGGTTTCACCAATTGTCTCACCCTCGCATGATGAAACTATATAAGTCTCCTTGCCTTCCTGTTTCTTTTGGTTGTTTGGTTTTGTGTTTGTTTTGCTTGTTGTTTGGTTTCTCTCGTGTTGCCCTTCATGGCAGGAGACTCATTCACAGCACAAGCTGACAGCTGACCTGTGCATTTCCTGCACGTACGGCGGCTCCAGCCGTGCAAAAGATGCAAAGCCTTTTTCCATTGGTTCCACCCCGTCCAGCCAAGGTGCCTGTAGTCATCATTCCCGTCCCAAAGGCAGGAGAAGAATCCTTGTCGTGGCTCATGAGACGGCCTTGCTTGCTTTCCAGGTGATCAAGAAAGCTGGCTGGCTGGAGCCGCTCTTGCTTCGCATTGGCTGGCTTTTGCTCCCACCGTTGGATCATTGGGTCCACATCACTCTAGTTGAGTTGTGGCATAGCAAACGCTTTGTACCACTTCATCCGACCACAACTTCAATTCTTTGGTCTCTCCCAATTTGGTTGATTTTTGGAACAGGTCCACACAGCGTTCGGTTCGGTTGTTATCATCAGCATCCTTGTTCTTATGATGTGGAACCATCAGTTGTTTTGTCCAATGCAAGAGGGGGGTCAATTTCACGAGGCGATGTGACACATGAATAGACGGGTGGTGATTCCTATTCACAATCTCACTGGGCTATACGGTTTCTTCTCAGGTTTTTCCACCTAGTCTGTGAATTGACACATTTCCAGCAGTCTGACCAAGTTGGTTGAGGTAGAATGCAAAACGATCATGAATCGTGAATCGTTTCCTCCATTGTGCCAGCAGGGTGATTGATGTCCGGCTGCTACAATCGAATGAAAGTGCGGAGTGCAGACAGCAACTGTTTGCTCGGAAGCAACTGCGGCGAGATGTATTCCATCAAATAGGAGAGTTCTTGTCGAAGTAAAAAATGTCGTGTTTGTTTGCTTCACTTGTTTTTTGCTACCGTGAAGTCAAATTTGAGGATATTGAGCTGCAATTCATTAGCCAGACACGCAGAACAAAAAACAAAACAACTTACGAACATGTTGTGAGTGTTGTGTGTCCTCTCAAAGTGTTCAGCCAACTTTTCGACATCGTAAACATGCCCGCCACGAATGTTTAGCAATAGTGTGGATGGAAGGCGTGAAACAACAATGAAGAGATCAGTTGTGCAAATCAACACTCGCAGGCCCAACGAGGAATAATGCTTATGTGGCATCGTGGGAGTCTGAACCGTGTTCCTTTTGGTGGTCCTAATGTGTTTTGCTGGAACGAAGCTACTAGCAATCTTGCTGCTTTATACTAACACCTAGGTCTTCAAGCATTGCCTCAGATTTCGGTGCATTTCGAAGCGCCTGTCCCTTGAAAAAGTCAGAACCTTAGATGAGGCATCGTTGCACTGCTGGAACTCCAATGTTTGGGGCATTCTTGAGGTTTGCTCAACCACATTCTCAACTGGAATGGTCTTATTTCCAGGCTTGGCTTGATCCTTTTTGATGTGGACTTACAATTCAGTCCTTTCAGGCAGGTCCGGTTGGTGACGCCAACACAATTGTGCCGCGAACTCAAGATCTTAAGTGCGTTTCCATCCCTAGCCGCCAGAAACCAAAAGGGGTGTCTACGGCAAGGTTTCTACATGGAACCAGCAGTACAGCTGCTGCATTCTTTTATCAGGTGCGATCTCGCAACTTTGAAATAAGGACACGGGGAAGAAAGGCAAAAAGGGAAAAACAGGATGATGAAAGAAAGGACAAGTTGTTCCATATCTTGATGTGGCCACGCTCCTGTGCCAGGTTACATCTCTCAGTGAAAAGGGTTACCATGAAGTGGGCTTAGTCTTATTTGTATTTGCATTGTGTTGAGAATGTCTGAGCATGAGTACATGCCATGTGTTTGTCAGGTAGTGAGCGTGCAATACCCAGCCTTTTCCAACCCTTTGGACTGGTGCAAGGCATGGAGCCACACCAGATTTTGTTGAAGCTGCGTGCAAGATTTTCTTGTTCCTTTATTTTCCTGCAGTTTCAAGCAACATTCACTTGGAGCGATGACATTGTTCAGCATGTGACAATCTGAGTTTTGGGAGGGTTTCGATCGCTTCCTGGATGAGATCAAGCGCCTTCTAAGCGTTTGGAAGGCTGAGATTAGATTAGACAGAGGACTGCAGACATTTCGCCCTCAAGTACAGTTCTCAGTACACCATGAATCCCAAAGCCGGCATGGATGAGTCGAAAAACTTATTGTGATTGATGTTTGTTTGCCTGTGAAGTCCTGGACAAGGGTGTCCTTCTCATTACACCTAGCTGTGGTTCCCACATGGGAATTGGGGAGATGAGTATTCGTTCAACTGGTGTTCACTCAAGAACCACGTTCGTTCTGATGCCACGACCCAGAATCGCATCCCTTGGAATGTGAACTCCAAGCAACTCAGGTGCCGAGCGGTTCATGTCGTAGGAGCTGGTCTTGGTTGCTGACTTGGATTGTTTGAGGAGGTGTTGCAATAGCCACTGTAGTCATTGTTTGGGCAGACGATCCTGGTGAAGAGCATTTAGGTGGTTTCCTGGCCCAGCATTTCGCATCAAAGTATGCCGTGCGCGTGAAGCAGGGAACTCAAACGCCTTCTGACACTGGTTTGCTTCAAGGAGTCCCAAAGCACATACAGCTAGGTCACTGGTGCTTTGCAACTCCTTTGCTTCTACCTATGCCTTCGAGTCGAGAGCTGGCACGCACCCATCTCAAAGGGTTTCACATGCTGGTAATGCGATCCATCAATGCCCGATTCTACGGAAAGAGAGTGGGAGAAAGAGAGAGAGAGAGAGAGCGAGGGAATATAGCATTGCTGGCGCAATCAGTGTCCACAATTTTTCTGTACACCGTTTACACCGTTACACCGCCTACACTGTTCACACCCTTTACACCTCTACACCGTTTACACCGTCACACTGTTAACCAGCGGCTCAGCGCATCCAGCGTAAACCAGGGTATCCAGCGTAAACAGCGTCCGTCACCAGCGTAACCACCGTAAGCAGCGTAACCAGCGTAGTCCCCGTAACCAGCGTAAACAGCGCAATCAGCGTAATCAGCGTAATCAGCGCAACCAGCGTAGTCAGCGTAAACAGCTTAAGCGGCGTAGTCAGTGCAACCAGCGCAGCCAGCGTAATCAGTGTAACCAGAGCGACCGCAGCAACCGTCAGCGTACCAGTGTACCAGCGCACAATCGTTCGCGGACACGCTTTGCCATGTCGCTCGAATATAGATAACACTGCAGCATTGCGGGATTGGGCTACAGTAGCCTCTAGGTTACCGTCGCCGAGCCTAGAAAGGAGGTCTTTGCAGAATATGGCTTGGTGCAGTTGTCAACAAGCCTGTTGAAATAGTATCAGCATCCAAGCTAGACACCTCTCTGTTCTTGGCACTTCTTCAATTCCACAAACACATCCACCAACTTTTGCACCACTTTGTATCTCCAAACGTCCACTTTGGACCCCTTGGGATGGCTGGAGGGCCAGCTTGAATGGGCCAAGAACTGGAAAGGCATCGGATGTGAGGAAGGTTTGTGTAAAGGCAGTTTCGCCAGATTGCTCAATGGCGATATGCCAAGGTGGGGATCCTTGATTCCGGTGATGCCAGCCACATTCTTGCGACAGGCCGCTGATGCGTTATCATTTTTTCGTTCTAGCTAAGTGCTTGTGTGTGTTTTGGCCCGTGGCAGGCCATGCAAGATACTCTGCCCCAGGCAGAAGACAGTACTGTACTGTGCGAAAGGGTGCAAAACGACAGACTTGAAGGGATCCGAAGGGATGGTTGTTTTGGTTGTCTAGGGTGGCTTTATGGAGCTGAGCGCCAAGCAGGCGATCGATTGGGTCGGCCAGCAGGCGCTGCGATCATCTCGGGTGTCAGAGTGCAGGGCAATGGAGCGGGGTGGAGCGGACTGGAAAAGGGTGTTAGGGGTGAGCTGGCCTTTTAAAGGGGCACATGCAGACCGCTGAGGGACTTATGTAAGACTTACGATGGGTCTTGTTTCAAGGATCTTGCGGCGAAGCTTCATGGGTTTCAGACACCAACACCGTCTAACCAACACTTGCCAGATGAACGACCTGAGTGGCGATGACTTGGCCAGCAGGCCAGACATTGGTTTGTGGACGGGAAGTGCAAAGTAGTGAGGCTTTGGAAAGCTGAGCCGATTACGTTTGTGCCAAGGCTGAGCCTCAACTGCAGTGGCAGCCATGTAGAACCTTTGCAACTTGAGAACAGCAAGGACGGACCATGCACTTTTGGTCGCTCTTGCAATTTACTTATTTGTCAGAGTTGCACTCCGAGCACAAAGCCTTTCAAAGCCCTTGTTTTCTTGGCAAATTGACCAGCTTCCTGAGTACAGTATGTGTTACAGGCTTCCTGGCATCCTGTTACCTTTTGTTCTGAATGGGTGGCCCCAACCCTCCTTTGTTCAGTTTTGCAATTGACACAGATCACCATCCTAGAGTCCAACGGCGAGACCATGGTGCCAGATGAACTGCGACGGCAGCTCAAGCTCATGTGAGCCTAGGAAGAGGTTGGTCGTTTCGAGCCATTGGTGCAGAGCGTTCTTTGGTATCGACTTTGGAGGTATCAAGGAGCTTGCTTTGCAGAGCTGAAGTCTCGGGGTGATTTTCCCTATCTCTCTCGGCCGGAAGAGGAGATAGCATAAGTTTGTTTGCTTTGCTGTGATGACTTGGTGACGCTTCAACTCTTTTGGCAGGTGACTCTCTTCATCGAGGTGCACATGCGACGCCTGGTCTCCCCGAAAGGACCACAGAATGCGTCTCGTATTCTGGGGGAGGGCAACAGTTTGCCTTGGCTGAAGCCTTGAATCGTCAGACCAAATGAGCGTCTATAGTCTTATAATATAACTCCCCACAGACAGACTTGCATTGAGAGGCGGGTGCTGCTCAGACCCCTACATCCCCAAAAGCTCTTTAAGGAAAGCAGCTGGGGCAGCTCCAATCGTGCTTTTGTCTCAAGAACACTAGTGTAAGTTTCCTTAAAAACAATCAGGACCCAAATCATGACGCCTGAGCCCTTCTGCGTCCCATCGGTAGTAGCTTAAGCTACTACTTACCCCCTCAATACTAGATACTTAAGCTACTTGTCGGCCTCAAAGCTTTGAAGAGAGCTGGAAAAACTGTTTTGCAACCAAGACATTTTGCGGGGCAAACCATTGGAGGCATCGGACATGGAATCTCTGTCTAGACAATCAGGGGACCTCCAACTGATTTTAGCATCTTTTCACCGAAACGAGTGTCTGCAGGAATCCCGGAGGATTTGCCGGCCTCGCAGAGGGAGGAAGGCCAGTTGCCATTGGTGTACGGAGTATTTTCGACAGGAGCTCCATTCAAGATATCCAATATAGCAGCAACTCCATCTTCTGACTGTGGCCCAGAATCTCTGCATTTCATTCCGAAATATTCCAGCATACTATTGGCCCATCAACATGTCATTCCTTGTTGCATGCCTCTGTCAACCTTGGCCTTGGCCAGACGTGTTCGTGCCACACGTTGACGTCCCAGTCCGGCGAGAGGTGAGATCACTGAGATGACATCGGTTTTGTTGCATGATTTTTCTTGCCCAGATCAATCGGTTTTCTTGATTGTAAGAAACCGGGCGACATTCATTGCAGGTCTGGAAGAACCCCTTTGAGGAGATTGGTACTTCCATGCAAACTGTTGCTGTATTCTCTTTCGCTGCAGGACGATGATTTGTTGTAGTGGTCTGAATGGTCTGGACCATACAAGGTCTCTTTATGTACATAGCGAAGGGCGGTTTCCATCGAAGCATGCCACGTAAAGTCTTCTCGAAGGGCGGTCAGTGAGACATTGAAGACCCTGAGGGCGAAGACAAATTTGTATTTTTCTGTGATCGTGTGGGGTCGTGATGCTTCTTGATGCTTCGCCATGATCTCCTGTGATGATTCAAGCTTGTGAAGGAAGCCATATGTGGACCTTCTGTCATATACTAAGATAATTACTGACAAGCGACAGGACTCATCAAGCATTCATTTATGTTTACGCATAGAAGGGGCTTTGTGATTCTTGTGCCCAATGATTCCACGATGAGCTGTTTGGCTGCCAATTGACACTAAGTTTTTCCGTCAGTAGCACCGGCCTCAACACTGACGATCAAGGTGTTGCATTCAACTTTCATGGCGTCAGCTATTGTAGGAGTAGAGTTTGGTGGCATGATCAGTTATGGTTATGGTTATTGTTTCATATATTTCTGGAAGGACAGGAATGCAAACATAGCTGTTTTGAGATTCCAGCCCAATCGCAAACTGGCATTGTTCCTGGTGCCCAAGATGACCTAGCCATGAATGCTCAGGGTTTAGGCCGGCTTGACAGACTAAAGTCAGATGTCACACAGTCAAAGAGTGGTGTGTAGTTGGCAAATACATTTTTTTGTGTCAGGTGCTGGGTACCATGATAACACCTGGCAGTGGCAGGATCCCAGCTGGGGCTGGGAAGAAGGCAGATGAGTCGCGTAGTGTAGGAGAAGATCTGAGCAAGGAGCGATGCGGACATACCAGAACCCTTTTGCAGGCTATTGGGACTCCAGCTGGTCAGGTGCGATGAGGTTTTAGAATAGTTGTTCTGCTGTGAGTCTTCTTGGCATGAGACTTGCAGTGGAGGTGTATTTGTATTGACGTTATTGAAGCATTGCTGTCATTCTTCAGCATGAGCGGATCCTGAAGGTGGTTGAACCTGTCAAAGGCACTGACCTGAACACATTACAGCATTACCACTCCAGATTTCTTAGAACAGAATCTTCACATCAGGAATATTTAATGACAACCCATATATATATATAATATATTTTAGATCTCTCAGAAGTTTGACGAGCCACTCTGAAGGGTCTGATTCGGTCCGATGGTTTGTACAGATCTGGATGGTGATGGCCTGCTGGGGGCCTTGGATTTCTTGGATTTCCCCGAGCTGGGCGCCTACTTAGCATGCTCCGGCCGACTCTCACGTCATGGGGTGGCCGCTTGGGACGCTCGCTCTTGGAGGATGCGAAGCTTAGATGCGCGGATCCCTTCACATGTGAAGTGGCGCCCCGAAATCCAAGAGGCACCACTTTTAGGTGGATTGGGTGTGGATTCATGTCGCGCCGGCAGTCTACAGGCCTGTGCCTTCTGGAGGCTTGCTCGAGGTGTACAGCTTTATGAGCAGAAGCGCTTCAAAGATGCAGAAGAGGAACTCAGAGCTTTGTTGAGCATCCTCCCATTAGACAGTCCAGGCAGACCATTCGCGAAGTGCCGTCTGGCTGACACCTTGTATGGTAGGGCTGTTTCCTTGAACTCCTTGAGAGCAGCCCAAAGTTCGCGCAGCTCAACACCCGCGAGTGCTGGTGAAGCCTGGGTCGAGCAGGATGAAGCAGTGGAGGTTGTTGAAGCAGAAGTGCCATTGGAGGTAGAAGTGGAAGGAGAAGTGGTAGAAGATGGGGCAGAAGTCGAAGTTGAAGTGGAAGGACTGGAAGCACTGGAAGGAGAAGCCCCACTGCGGATGCCATACTCTCCGCTTTCCCCTGCTCGCGAGGGTGATTTGATGCGCTCTGTCTCAACGGAGGACGCTCCTCAGGTGGAGCTCACGAGCTCCACAGCTTCGACGCCAACGCCGCCGTTGGCAACCCCGCGACTTTGGAGCACTTCTTGGACTCCACCACTGGAAGATGAAGATGAAGCAGAAGCCCAAGAAGCCGAAGCCCAAGATGCGGAAGAAGCTGAAGAAGCCGAAGCCCAGGAGGCGAGTCTGTCAAAATCCCAAGGAATGTGCTCAAGTCATTTTTTGAATATCGATTGTTGAGCGTTTTGTTCCTTAAGTCAGGAACCGCTGGAATCCCACTTGGAGGAGGTGACGGCAGTCGACCAGGATACGTTGCGTGCAAGGCGGCTTGCAGTCCAAGAGTACAAACATATTCATGAGACTCTAAAGAGATTATGATGGTGCAATACAGGCTCACTCAGATGTTCATGCTGCATGCATGTCTGAAGTCGACGAGTGGATGAGTTTGTGTTGCAGCCTCGTCATAACAGAGGTACTTTCCCATATTTGTTCTAGATTATATATAGTGAGCTCTATTTTTTTGGGGGCAGGAGGCCATTGCTAGTAGGTTGGAGACCATCGCTACAACGGAGGGTTGTAACAAAGCCTTTTTTGTTCAGGGCCACCAGCTTTGAGGAGGAGTATGAGCTGCAGGAGCCACCAAGGTGGCTTTCTTCGAAAAGTGACAAAGTCCTTTTAGACCACTGGAGCAAAATGACTGAACAATGTAGCGTTCTTTTGGGGAATAGGAGAGAGCAATATTGTTGCCTTTTTCTTTTTTGCCCGAATGGAACATACCTATGTCACCTGCGTGCTTTTGCAGGCCACCTGGTGAAGTCAGGCTTACGGAGACCGATGAGGCAAGGATTTGCCTTTTTCCGACCCGAAAATGAATCTTGAACAGACTGGGTTATCCCTTGGCCGTGTTGCTGATTGTTTGAAGAAGCAAGAACTACAGCAACTAAAGCAATCTCTTCGACAGAGATCGACAGAGCTGGAGGCCGAGGAAAGTGCTTCAAAAATCGAAGTGCTTCGTGAAAGGTTTCTCTCCGAGGCTGTGGAAAAGCACATCCTGCTTCTTTTAGTTTATTCTTTGTGCAAATGTGGTAGTCGCGCTCGAAGTCGACCAGCAAACGAAAAACCAAGACGGCGCGCGAGGCGCCGAACAGCGCAGCCCTTTTCCAAGGGCGAATCCCACCCGCCTTGAGTGGGTCAGTTGCGGTCGGTCGAAAACCTGAGTCACCTGTGAACATGCCAGGTTGAACAGCGTTCAACTTACACAGGAGGAAAGTGGTTCCTGTGTGGCTTCGGAGCTTGGTGACTCAGCTACAGAAAATGCGTCTGCTTCTTGCAGCGCACCAGCTTCAAGCCATGTGCAAATGGCAGTCCTCAAGGACGTGCCGCCAGACAGGGTGACGTTGTCTGGTGGGAGGATTCTAGTGCTGCACAGGCTACAAGGATCAAAATGATCCACATTTCTCGGATCTCAGCCCTCCAGCGAGCTGCAGCTCTGGCTCACATGCAGCTTGCGGCCATGCCTCGAAATGAAGATGCCAACGTGCAAGGGGCATTCCAATCGATGGGCATCCATCTCTCTCAAACACCGGCGAAGGATGTTGCCGGCGCGGTAGGTCAACTCGCCAACATACTCCATGTTGGCAATGGCGAGCTTCAGAGCTTTTCCATTCTCCATGACAGTGCCTTCAGCTTCCAAGGTGCGAAGCTTCCATTTTTCAATTTCAGCACGGAGGCGACTGGAGACAGTGGTGTCCTCAGTCTGGGTGGTGGCATCAGCACACAGCACCTTCTTGCATGGTGCCCAATCCATTCGGCTCCATCGGCCCAAAAGAAACAGCGTGCTAGCCAGCAAGCTGAGGATGGTGATCACCGTCACGGTGAGGAAGTCAGGTTCCTCCGCAAGTCCAGTGTCGCTGGCCATGGCTCCAGGCAGCAGCAAAAGCACAAATGCCCAAAGCAAGACATTCCTTAGGCGACACTTGATGACATACTGCATGCGGCTGCCGACATGGCTAGGAGCAGCAGCAGTGTCATTCACAAGGGCCTCATGCTCTTCAGAAAGGATGTTATATTCATAGGCCTCCATGAAGTAGGAGACTGTGTCTTCGGTGATGGCCATGTGCACATACTCTTTCACAGGGTCA